TGCTGACACCATAGAACGGTTTGGGTTGGAACGGACCGTTAAAGGTCATCTAGTCCAACCCCTCAGCAGTGAGCAGGGACATCCTCAACTATATCAGGTTGCTCAGAGCCCCATCCTGTAATCTTCTCTTAGGAACCTGCTTTCTGCCTTACAACCTTTCCCCCCAATTCTTCAAATCTGCTGTCATCAGCATTAGCCTGTTCCTCAGCTACCTGTTGGTGATTTCAGAACCCCTAGAGGAATGGAAGTATCTTCTCGCACAGATTATCAGCAAGCTGTGGAGTCTGTGAAATATAAATTGACTCAAATTCCATATTAAGGCTTTAAGAGACAACCCGATAAACATGTAGTTATTTAACATTTGTAACTATGACTTTATATCGAGCATAATTAAAAGTTTAAAGTTTGAGTCCTTAAGTGGCAGAAGGTGGTTTGGGGTTGGAAAGAAGGTGCCTCTTCCAGCTGTACAACTGATTGAGGATAGTACTGACAAGACTGTAAAACTACCTTCCTCTATGAAGCTGTTAAATGCAAACTCTTGCCATTGCAGCCAAACCACTGCTGAAGCTCAGCAAATCTCAGCTCAGTAATATTAAGACCATTTGATTCCCTGGTTCTTAAATAACCTGTGAATCACATTTAGTTATCTCTGCGTGTGAGGGAGGGGTTTTAAATTCCATACCTTCAGGAGCTGACACTGATAAAGGTACCGTGCACCCAGTATTTGAGCTTGTGGGTTGGACAGGAGGCCCACCTTAGTCCACAATATCTGTATCTCCAGGGTCACAGGAACCATGCAATGGGACGTGCTGTTCGCAGCCTGAAAACAAAATACACTATCATCTTAATACAGTATTTTAAAGATGAACAAGGACCATTTTGGTCAAAGTCTAATATTTTGTATAGCATAGGTCACAGAACCTGAATCGGTCACTTCAGCACTAACCCCGTAACTTCCGGTTGGGTCAGCCACCCATTTTAGAGCTATATCCATCTTCTCATCGTCTCATTTCCAAACAGAATTTGTCTCAGCTCTACCGTCTGGGTTTTGTGTTATATTAGACCATCTCCTGACAGATTAATAATGATTAAAACAGAATTTCCCCTCCTCCGTAAGTACTCAGATTGCAAACTTTTACCCTTATTAGGTAATATATAAATATCCCTAGAAACTAGAAAATCAGAAAGAATGATAATAATAGAAGCATCAAATTAATGGGAAGTAACCAGGTAGTATTAATTCTAGAAGGCTGTCAGAAAACTAGGTAATACAACACTGGATTCAGTAATAAACTCTTTTTGTCCCTTTAAATAGCATAAACAGGATTCAAGATATTATTAAATCCATTGGGTTTTTTTTGTTTGTTTGTTTAGTAAGTATCCTAATAATATGAACTATAATAAGCATGACTGGCTAGAGGTATTAAGACACCTGAGAGTCAGGGGATAATCACACAAAGAAAGTAAGCCCAGATGAACAAGCTGGTTCTTTTTTCCCCATGGGCACACTTCCCCAAGGCAATACAAAGATATGAAAGGAAAAATATTCACAGCTGGTTTTTTTGCATTCATATTACCTGCACACTGCAGTTGTGAATCAGAATGGTCGTCCACTCTTCTGTCTGGGTTAAATGAGCACTGCCAGTTATAGCAAGGTCCTCTGCTCCGTCCATCCCCTGAAAAGCCTTGTACAACTTCTGCTGGATGTAACTACAGTTACTTTCTTCCAGTATTGGGGATAGGCTGGAAATGAGAAAATAACAGCTTTGACAAAGTAATTTCCAGGACAGAAAAAAAAAAAAAATGCTATCAACATGCTTTCTTTGTAATGAGTATTTCTTCTGCTCTTATGAGTCAACAGAATCATTACAAAAGTACTGGTATTAAAGGGATGCAGTTTCAATCCTCTCTGCAATGAGAAGGGAGAAGAAAAACTGACAGCTCTTTAGACATCTTACCACATTAGTGGTCATATACCTGGCCCTGTCACCAACAAAAGAATATTCCAAATCTTTAAAACGATCCCTTTTTAAGGTTCCATTATAATTCACTCAGATACAAACTCTACTCGTGCCCAAGACATGTTGCCAGACTACAGCCTCAAAAATGCCCCAGAAGACCTTCACAATGTTCAGATTGTTCTAGAGGTTCACCATCTCTCTGATACTCAAGTCCTCTTAGGAGTACATGAAAGGTCTTTATAGACCCATTGGTGACCTCAGGGAAGCACTGAGGCTCCACAGCAGTGTGTGAGAGACTACGGAAAAATGTGCTAAGTGAGTCCACTCCTTCCAAACATGTCAGAGTGTGTTGTTACCTGAGCTTGCAGCCTGTCCTCATATTTCTGCCAAATTGCACTGTGTGTCTGAGGAACTGTGAGCAACTTCCATCACCTTCGCTCTGTAAGATGCTCATCTGACAGACTGCATGTCAAGAAGCCAAACAAAAGCAAAACCAGACAATATAGGACACCCAACTTGTATTTAACAATCCTCTCACCCCACATTCCTCCTTATCCCTATCACAGGACTACAATTCAGTCGTGACCAAAAGGCCTGCTGATGGCTGCAGCGTAATGCAGCGCAGCATGCCACGCAATGCAGTGCAGCATGCCCTCACAGGTGAAGGTAGAATCTCAGAAGCCCAGACAGTAGAGCACCAGAGTCAATAAACCCAGTGATAAAAAAAAACTTGAGAACAGAAAAAGGATACACGCTGCATGGCGCCACTGTTTGCAATCAACAGTGGTGCACCAGTGATATAGCCAGGGTTTCCACTTCTGGGCAACGTATGAGACAGCGTCCTGGTCTACAAAGAGAAGAAAGAAAGGAAGAGGAAAAACATTAGCACCAGTGAGATCCATTCATCTCAGAAGATCAAATTCACATTCTCAAAAATGTCAATGTATCCCATTTTTTGAATGGCTGAGTATTACGCACTACTAAAAACTCCATTATTTGTTTCCAAATCCTATTTCTTACCTGGCAAGTTCATCTGCAGTCCAGGAGGTAAAAAACTAAATGTCAGTACCCTGAAATGTGGATACTACCAGGACAGTTTTTGAGACAATGAATCCCTATTGCTCAGCATTTGTCTCTGAGGAAGTGAACATACCAGTCCAGGCCATTCTACAGATGATCTGCAGAACAAACCCTGCCTTGACCCAGATTTTGAGTGGCAGATTCCATTTCTAAATTGTTTTATGGGGAGAGGCTCTGGGGATAACTTCAGCAAGGTTGCACTGCACACTTACCTACCCCTGAGGTCACCACTTATCCCACTTTACATTGTCTCTGTGGGACAAGGTTTATATGAACTTCAACACACACATTAGTGTTTCCCAGATTTCCACTCCCTCCAAAGCAACTCTCTTTCCTGCTGCACGGGCAAAGTTAAATAATTACCTGGAATAAAGTTAGCAACTTTATTCACAAACACAGAGCACCACAGATACAGCACCATCTTCAACCCTTTCCTCCATAAGACCATGCTGGTGACCCTGATCTCATCCTCTCCCCTTCTCCCCCCACCAAAAAAACCAAAACCCAAACTAAATCAAAACAGCAGCAAAAAACAGTCAGATAAAAACAATCAGCCCCTTCAAACCTGTGCAGTGCAAGACTGCATGCTTGCACCGAGCCTGAATTTTTCTACTAACACGGTGTACTTGAGAACAGATCAATGTCCCCTCCTTCCTTCGACCACCAGCTGTGTCCCAGGGTTCTGGTACTACCATACCACAGTGACACTGCTCCAGTATTTTCACATCTCACCTGTACAAAACTGGGTCACAAAGTACAGACTACAAACTTGGTAAGAGCCCAGGGAGGATGGGGGCACTGACCCAGAAGTGCAAAGTGAAGCGCTGCTGCAGAGAGGATCCTGAGTTCTCAGAGATGTTGCTCACTTTGAACTGGACAGAAACACTCTGAATCCCATGTGTGCCACTGAATTCTATCTCGTAGATGACCTGAAAGTCCAATTCAGAGAAGAATCAGAGGCAGAGTCAGGTCACAGGGCAATGACTTTAAGCTAGCGTTGAGCTGCCCAAAGGAAAGAAGATTCAGATACCTCAGAAACAGCGTTGTTACATGTGTTGTCTTTCATGTGGGGAGCTCCGGGCGGTGCGACTGCAGTGACATTTACCTGGAGGCAGTAAGCACACTGATGATTAGCAATTGTTTAAAAGGAGTGTGCCTTTCTTATTCTTTTCCACTGCTTTTCCTTCCGAGTCAGATTTACCTTCCTGCTGTAGCTGTGATCTGTGGACACATCACCCTGCTCCAATGCCCCATTTTTTTCTAGGAAAACAAGCTACCTCCCTGACTCCAGCCCCATCTATCGCCATTCATTTTAAAGTATATCTTTTACTATATCCCTAATTTTTTTTTTTTTCCTATAATGTCACACTTTTGTCCAAAAAAATCTTGTCTCAGACACAGAACGTTCGCATTCTCCCAAGTTCCCAACCCACAGGCATTACTATGATGCCTAAGATTCCAGATATGTTTTACTTCAGAAGCAGAAATTATTTTCATTGGCAAGAGAGACTGACCTTCATGGACTGCATTATGGTGTCATTAACTGGGACCTGGGGAGAAAAAACAAACCAACATACAACACCAAGAAGCCAACCCCTTTGCTGGGTTTGCAAGTGCCTAAAGTCATGAAACCATACTAAATAGAGCCTACATACTGTACTGACAAAAATTACTTTGTTTATTCTAGATGTGTAAAACTTGTCATCCATTAGGGATCTAGAAATCACAGACATAATCCACAGAAAGCATTTTTAGAACATCAGAAACCAAATTTTGTTCTTGGCCATGCTAATGACCTGCAGAATGCAGATACTTTAAAGTATCAGCATCTTTGATCCATTCCTGGAGCTCCCCCTTCTGGAATCAAGTAATTACTTCAGCTTCCATTTAAGGAAAAATTAAATTTTGGCCACAGTAACAAAGCAAGCCCTGAAAACATGAGTTAAATTTGCTCAGCAGAAGAGTCTCTAGTACAGTTACGTGAGGGTAAACTGAGTCATTAGCCTTAATAAGGTCTTAATATTTATACTGCCATTTTATCTTGGAACACCAGAGAAAGTCTAGAAGGCAAGAGGAGATACTTTCATGTTAATATTCAGCAAGACCAGCACGCTGAACCCAGGACAATAAATTGGTTATTTTGAAATTATTGTCAGAATAAATAATGGAGAAATTGATATGGAATTCAATCTATGAATGTAAATCAAGCTAATATTGATAACTGGCCTTCAGTATGATTTTAGAGATAACATATTGCATAAACCACACAGTGCTTGGTTGATCAAGTTGATGGAACAGGTAGAAATACTTTGATAAAGAGTCTGTTTAAAATGGAAGACAGTTCTAGTTAAACCATTAAAACTATGAAGTATCAATAAGGCACCTGTTAAATGCATTAAGAATTTGCTAATAACTGGAATTTATTGGAAAGTAGTTTGAATTGACAGATTATCACCAATCACAACATTTTTAACAGGATTTCCAGCAACAAGGCCTTAACAATTGTGAGATCAGGGATGACATACCAGATGACCTCTAGTTTTCCAGTTAGCTGAAGTTGCCATGGAAGGCAATGGCAAGTCAAGCAAATAAGATGTCGAGAAAAAGGAAGAAATATGACATGCACCTTTAGCACTGTGAAGTCACGGTAGTAGGAGGCAGCATCTAGGGCAGGGTCAGTAACGCAGCTCTTGCTCAAGTTGGCAAAAATCCGAGTACAGCTTGTGCTTTTGCTGTCCAGGAAGCCTGAGTTAAGACACGACAACAGATAAAACAGAAGCAAACCACCCTGAGAAATTCTTCCCCCTTTACTAACCAGCAGGATTTCCATCAACACAAAGTCCACTGGCTCCCATCTTCACTGGCTGTCTAAGTGTGCTCAGTACAGATGATTTATCAAAGTAGATTAGGATTGGATCGCCAGCCTGAAAAGACAATTTGGAGAAACCACAGACAAAGTGACTGTGGAATACTAAGGCCAACCGTAAGGTGAGGATATCATCAGGGCACAGAGGCAAATTTACACTTCTCCTTAGTGCACACCCAGTTTTGTCTAAAGGGTTGCCCAAACTTTTAAATACAAGAAAACTAATCATAAACTTTTTACACAATACAGAACGAAAAGAACTGAAAGATAATATGGATTATAGGTAGAAATCTTTCAATTTATTCTCATTAGATCTCATTACAGACAGCCTTAGTAAAAGTGTCCCTGCAAACTGATTCTATTTTTTCTTTCAACTTACCCGGTAAAAGGTAGATAATGATGGCTGGACTTGTGACGGTGCTAAAAAAGTGTGGCTGGGCTGCTTTAAAAAAATCAGATTCTTTGATATCTTGTGGCTGTTGGAAATAGTTCAGCTTTGCTAAAGGTTGAAAAGAGAAAAAAAATAATCTGCCAATATCAAATTACTAGAAATGATAGATCTAAGAAAAAGTAAATATTGTGCCAATATTTTTAAAAGGAACAACTTCAGTAATTACAAGCTAGATAGTGCCTTATATTAATTAATCCACAGTTACACTGCGAACAGGCTAATATGAGCTATGAACAGGGTGATACCATGAGTACCAGTTTGTTTTGTTTCATGGGAAGCAGGTGTTAATACACCAAAGTGACTTTCCAAAAAGCATTAAAACTGCTTAAGGCAACTATGTTACTACGTGCCCTAATTTCTGTAAGATGCCCAAATTAGACATGTGACATTCTAATGACAAAATGCTACCAATATGCTGAGTTCACTAAAAGCAAAATTAAATGGATTCAAAATAATTAAGGTTGGTAAAACTCAAAGTAAGTATGAATAGGGCATAGGCATCCTAAAAAACCCAGACTTTCTATTGGTATCCCACAACGATGCCCTCCTGACCCAGGGGTATTCAGTACGGTTACAACGTTATAATGTATTAAATTATTATTGCTAAAACACCAAGTCATAACATGGCAAATTACTAAGGACATGCTATGTAGATTCATCCTAATGGAGTTATTCAAAATATAAACTTTAATATATCCAAATAAAACATCTTACAAGGTTTAAGGACAACAGATAATACTGACAACGGAGGTGAGTGGCAGTACCCTCAATTACATTAGTACGAAAAAGAGTTTAGGTAGTCTAACAGGTTTGGGGAAAAGCAAAAAAACCCCCCAAACAAAACAAAACCACCACAAAAAAAAAAAAAAAGAAAAAAAAAAGAAAAAGAACTTAAGCTCTCAGTGTGATTCTGCTGCTTGAGGGCAGAGCAGATGCTTAGATGCACAGAGCAGCAAGCAGAAATAAAAGCTTTCTTACATCTGAACATAGCATTAGTCAAGCAGTCAACTAAATCTTTTAAGGCGACAAAGGCCAAAGGAGTATTGAGCTCCTACAAGGTTCACAGAGCAGTTTTCTTATCATTCCCTTGAGAGTATAATTATTAAGCTGAAAAAGAAAACATTGGTAGCTGTGCTGTGCGCAACCATTTCTTGTCTTTGGAATGCAGTTCTTTATGTACTCTTCTATTATCGAAGCTGAATACTTGCTGACACAGATTAAAATTACAGAATGCAAAAGACACCTGAAAACTGGAAGAAAAGGCCTTCTGCAGCACAACTTAAGATATTCAAACTGCTTGAGTTTTCAGAGAAAAGCCATTTTCAGGTAAAGACTTGTTCACAGTGTAGTTTGCTCAAGAAAGCACGCTAGCTACTACAGGCTATTTAATTTTGTAGAAAAAGGCAAAAAAAGAACTTCAGACAATTTAATTTGTCTGAAACCAGACAAAATTAAACAAAACAAAAACCCAAACAAAACCAAAACAGGAGTCAGGCTTGCAGATAATGAACTTCAAAACACACTCATGTTAGTTCTTCCATTGATTTAGAAGCAGGAATAGCAGCCATATTCTCCTAACACCTGCAAAGACGAAGCTGTTATCTTGAGGAGCTAGTACGTGAAACAGGAACGCTTTTAAAAGTACTTTTAGTATTCTGAAAACATCTAGCATTTCCAACTGTCCATGAGAACTGGTCTCTTCCTCTTAACGCATTAATTGTCGGCTGGACCAGCAAGACTGCCTGACTCAGCCAGCTATGTGATCCTTAGACAGAAGGAGCCGTTAGGGATGTGGTGAGCAGTCACACTGCTCCATTTAGTATCAATACAACCTAAAAAGAGTTTAAGACACATGTGAAACATCACCCTTAGCACAAGACAGTGAAAAGGCAGTACTGGGAAAATTTGCAAGAGGAAGAAAGGGCCACAGAGGGCACAAAAGTAAGAAAGATTGGATGTGATGAGTTGTCAAGGTTAGAGGAAGGCCACAGCTGTCAGATGGAGAGCAACGAATGAAAAAGTCGAAAAACAAAGCAATTGAATGATAGCGATAGTCAGAAAAATAGGCAAGAGAGATGGCGGGGCAACGCAAAGGATGTTTTACACTTCAGGAAAGACAGCTAAAATAGAGTACTGCAATCAAGAATGAGGACAGTCACGGAAAGAGCCATTAGTGACAGGCAGAGGAAGAAAAAACCTGCATCTTTTAGAAGTATCATAAAGAAGCATTAATAAAACCGGAACGCCACTCTGGTATCTGCTAGCAACGGTTTTAATGAGGTGAAGTCAACTTGTGCATCTCAATCTCTCCGTTACTAGGCACGATAATTCATCAGGTTCAGAGCCTGTTCCCACTTGCCCTTTTCCAGGAGGCCCTCTGGAGCAGGACTGATTACATTTCTGGCTGTAGCAGCTCATGTCACCATCCATCTGGAAAGGCTTCTTCCACAACCAGCTGATGAGAACATATATGTTTGTGTGTTTCCTTGGGGAAGGCCAAAGGGGAGAAGGCCGTTTCTACCAGAAAACTTTATCATCCTTCAGGTGATCCCAAATAAAGTCTTTCCCAGATGTTCTTCCAACAAGAAGCACAGGAAAGGAAGGTCATGCCAGCCGTGAATTCTGTCCAAGTGTGCTATACCTGACATACCCGTGCAATGAAATATCTAGGGCTTGTTCAGTGGGCCTAATCATGTGATAGTTATGCAACCCAAATATTAAACGCCCAGAAAAATCTGGTGCCATCAACCTGGACACAGATGATCCTTCCTTTGGATGAGATTACTGATTCAGAATCCTTCTAATCCCATTTTTATGATATCATAGGTGGTGTGGGAAAAGGATAAAATTTAGCTACTTCCTGGAGTACCCAGGAGACTGCTGGCACTTTCAGCTGTGGTTAAACCCTCATCGAAATTAATCTTTATTCTGAGATCGACTGAAAATTGGAATGGGTGAAGTTCTAGCACTACTAGCTATCATACTATGTACTGGGAGGCTCTCATTGCCCTGTGTGCAACACATTCAGGCAACACCTGTGAAGAGCTGAGAGCAGGACTAGATAATAGGAAGCTAACCCTGGTTTCACTAGTTGTTGGAGCAGTTAACTTCCGGAGCCCGTCCCAACCTAAAATGCTCTATGATTTAGGTCAGAAGTAGATGGGACTGTGGGTCAAAACTCTCAGACAAGAGACTCAAAAGAGAAAATAGAAAGTGTTCAAATCTGAGACCCTAGTGAATTGCAACGAATGCCAGAGTGTTGGACATCAAATCAGTCAAATGAAGGACAACGTGGAAAGCAGGAAGCGGAAAAAATGTTAACGGCATACCCTACGAGGGTATATGATTACTAGAGAAAAATCATTGCCAGCAGAAAAGAAAGTACGAAAATAAGCATATGAAATAAAGAATCAAAGATATGATTAAAAAATCACTTTCTGAAAAGGATAATCATGGTGTATTTCAAATATCAACCTTTATTTGCTGCTTTAAGTGTAGCAAACTAAGTAAAGTATCTCAGATACAGAAGCAACAGATGAAGGCCGACCTGTGGTTAGCCAGAGACCCCACCTGTAAACCAAGTGCAACAATCTTTTTCTTTGTCTTTGGTGGCGGGACCCGGATTCACTCTGGTCTCTCTGGAGCTCTAACAGCCCAAATACTTACTAACAATTATGTTAAGTTTAAAAAAAGATTCCCTAAGCCAGGGGCACTCTGTGAATTATACGTGTGGAAGGAAAGGTTACTTACAGTCATCCAGCTGCACGCAGAACAGCAGATCACGTCCACCAGGGACAGCCACGATATCAGTAGGGTAAGGGGTGTTACTTTTGAACACGAGCGATTTTTCCACACATACTTGACTCGCAGACCTGCAAAGATGAGCCCCCCCCCCCGCAAACTGTTAAAGAGGCTATTCTTGTATCACTTCGTATTTCACATTGCTAAATGCCAGCAGCAGAACACAGTATTGCTTTTCATCAGCTTCCATGAGTTATCGTACAATTTGCGTTGATAATCAACTACAGAAAGTCTCTCTTGTCATTGCAGTAACTTTGTGGATACGCTCTGTTTGCACATTTAGAAATCACTCTGAAATTCCCTGGAACAAAAAGCGGTAAAAAAAAAAATTCGAGGTCCGTGCATTACAGCTCCCCTCGGTGCTCCTCACGACTGCCACCTGCAGAGACTGGGTTCGCCCACAGACGGCACCCAACAGCTGAACCCCTCTTCCTCACCCACAGCATCTCGCGGTCTGCAATCGCTCTCCTCCCTCCCGGCTGTACATCAAAGGTCTTTTTTCTTAAGGGAAGGCGACCCAGTCCCCGCCGCCCACCGCCTCGCCACGGA